TATAAATCTAATAACTAACCGCTGTAACAACCTTGTACATGTAAGGTCATTTAACCACTTCAAAGGTTTCTAATACTAACCGTATGTAAATATGATTAAAAGGTTTTCAGACTTGAGACGATCAATTTCGCTTTTCGTTTCGATCCCCTCGCCTCGTTCCGCTCGTAATCGTGTTACAAACTCAACTCAATTGCACCACATAAATATCAAGAACATCTGGAAAAAAACCGCGGTGCCGTGTCGTTGCACGCGATGTTTCTTTAATGGAAGCAGAACCGAAAAATTGCTACATCTGTCACTGTAATTGCCACAGCGGAGTGAAATCTAGTTGGAAAAAGAGCGGACCTGGTGCGCAGCTAGCTTAATCACCACGTCGATTATTCATTGATAATTGTATCGGCCTTGTGAATTCTATGAATTGCGAAGAAACATCAATTATTTCAACCGTACAATAGATGAAAGCTAACCGCCAATGTTTATTTTAGATAAGTATCAAAATTAATTTCAAGTTTCTACTCATTTTGGAATAAATAAAACATTTTTTAATCTATTTCATCGGGAAAAGTATAACTGTACTACTTTTTAAAGCTTATTCCTGAATGTAAAAAAGTAAAATTTGTATGTGGGAAGTTGACCCATTGCTGATAATATCGAAACATGCATGAAAACTGTCCCGTTTAAAAGCAAGCGTTTCGCATTTAGTGACCCGTAAATAAATCACTGGTCTTTATGGCAGTAACTGTACTCTGATGACTCGACTAATTAACCGTCGATACAGATAAGACTGTCGTATATTGAAAGGGCTGAGATAAGCCGGAACCAAAACTGGACAACCGTTTATTTAGTTGTTCTTTGATGACACCGCCAAAATCGTTTCTGCGAAGTGGCAATGGCCGTATAAACATCCCATTTAACTGAGAAAGTTTAGACAGTAGTATGATTAATATAATAAAATAATTTTTTAATGTTAAAGTTTTTTAAACTTTTCAGTAAATACACTTTACATTTGACCTTCTGACCCAATGTCGTCGTAGTTTCAGCTTCTCGCCTCGTGCCTCGACCTCTTTTACACGTTTCAAATGCAACCGTATTATCTAACCTCGTTATAGCACAAGAAGCTTGAGAATGAGAGCCTATTGGGTCACCGTGACCTGTTGCGGTTCAACATTGTGCGGTTTTGCACTCGTCCTGCCCGATTGTATACTGACCTTTGCCTAGAGTTGTTAGCTCCCGCAGAGAAAACTAACTGCTATTTCGTATTATTGCATATTATTTAATATTTATGAATCCAAAATAAACTATGATAACAAATCTTATCGTTGTTTTCGGGAAAATTCCAATTCCGCCAGAAAGTGCTCCCCCAATTTTTTTGGATCATTAACTACCCTACCATCCGTAAATTCCCCCCACGTTGTTTCCAGAAAGTGATCCTGACGCATCGCTTCGTTGACCTCGTCTATTTTGCAATATTAAACTTATCCCTGACTGTAATAATACCGAAGCTCGGCTTTTATATGCAAATCCTTACAGCCTCCCGTTCATCTGACATTATTATACGCGAAGGAAAATTCGATACGACCTTCATTTGCATAATAAAACGTCTTTGTCGTTTTAATCTTTTTACGCTACTTTTTTTTTCATTCGATTATAATTTTTTTAAAATACAGGGTTATTCATAATGAATGACCTGATTTTCATTCAACCATTTTAAAGCGGTGGTTTAAACTTTTAAAAGCTTTAGAATACGAATACAATAGGTAATTTTATCAACAAAATGACATGCTTCATCCTCGACTTTGTGAACTAATTTGTACGCTATAGAATAAGATTTTTCCATCAATCTAAAGATTCCAACTTTATATAAAGTTCAAATAAAAATGTTTTGATATCATCATTCTTGATTGTATAACTTAAGTTTGACGTAATAAAAATTTTCTGCATTCTGGACTGAGTTGAATTTTAGTTTGTAATTCATATATGACACACCTGTATATTAATCATTAAAGTTCGTCGTTCAAACGGAAATCGATTAATCCTTGAGAAGATCAAAAAAGAGAAAAATGAATAAAGTACCGGTCTCATGGCCAAAGGGAATGAAGTTGAATCCATCTCGTCGAGGGCCGCTCCTACGATCCCATGAATGGGCAGGACAGATGTGGTCGACAATCGAATGCCCAAAGGTGGCCGAACAGCTTTTTGCCCAGTTGACACTCGAACGGGTCTCAAGACGTGACTACATTGACAAAGAACCGTTTCCAATTCATACCGAACGTCTTTGATCGATCGCCCATCAAAAAATAGCCGACGGCGAAACGGTGATCAAGTATTAACGCCTCCCCAAGATCGCGCGGTTGCTTAGAAAGCCGTAATCGCATTAACGGTTAGAAAATAAATCTCCTCTTCTCGGACTTCCGCTCGCGTTACCTCACCTTATTATTTTATTATGCCGAAACACTTTCTCCATCGCACCTTTTTTCAACTTATCCCAATTATACAGCTTCCGTTTCAAAGGTTCGTTAAAAAAAATGGGTGCGGAAATCGTAGTCGAGGCTCGGTATGTTCTGCAGCTTTTTCCTGGTTGTGTCAATTTCACACGAGAATTTCTCGGGTTTACGATTACTACGGATCACACTGTTACGCAATTTTCTCTATCACGAAGGTAAACTTAGAGAACGAGTAGTTGCAACAAATATATCGAATTGTTTGGAACGTCAAACGTAACGATGGTGAATGCACGATTGCATTCACAAACGTGTTTGTCTGTAATCAATTTAACAGAGCATTTTTTGTTGTGTAGATCAGTGCCAACTCTTAAGCAACTTTAAGTTAGAAATATAACTAACAGCATACCAAGATGTTTCATAATAAACACTTTTTTGCAATAGTTACTGAAATACCTTGTAAAAAAAAAATATCTTGTAGAGCATATTTCATATTGATTTCTTTGTTCAACAAAATAATCTCTTTATTATTATTCTAAATGTGTTTTGATTCAGTAAATATTTCAATCCCGGATTTACCTGGAATTCGATTTGGGTCAAGCTATAAAGGGAACGGAAACAATCAAGAGCCATCATAGTTAAACGACCGAATGAGCTTCCATTGAAACATAAATAATCGGGGATATGAACCCGGTTGCGCTTGTGAATAATGGAGATAATCGTTTGGTTATCTGCTCGACTGCGCATTTGCATTTCGCCAATAAAATATGTCCGACTGGTCGGAGTAAAAGTGTCTCGGACGCTGTTTGTTATCGTCAATGAATCTGGTAGTAGCCTACATCGGACAGCTGCTGTAATGGGAAATTAACCGAGTTTTGAATTAAACGGAGAAAGTTATTGATGTGAGTGAGGAGAACAAACCGGCTGGATTTATCAAATCCGATGCGGGCAAACAATAACGAATGGTGGTTACGCAAGCCTATTCTAAAAGTGAGATTAATATCGAGACTAAATAAACAAACGATAAGGTCGAAAAGGGATCACAAAAAGTTGATAATATAATATATGTGACTTGGCGTTTCTATAATTTTTTACGAACAAGGCGCTGACGCTCAAAGTTAATTTCTCTGTTTACAAATTGGGATAACAGAAATATAAACATAGAATTTATGTTTCATAAATTACGCTCCACAAAAGATTTATCAACATTTTCAGTTAACCGCAGTTTTATTGCCATAAAATAGCAGCCATTAAACACCTACCGGGTTTAGATTCATATAAGCAAACTAATTTTTATACCTTCCCAAGGAAGTTACAAAATATACGTTCTTCGCATAACATTATGTAAACTCGTGCGAACGTGAACTGAAACCAGACTGATTTATGGGCGATCGAAGAAGGTGGTTAACCCAGATCTATCAGAGGAAACGGTCGACAGGATAACAACAAAAAAAATATGAGTTTCGCAATCATTCGCATAAACGTCTAATTGGCGTACAGTATCCTGCGTTTTCTAATTAACTTTACCGCCATTATTTTGGACCGACAACAAACGACAACGAGTCTCGCGATAATCAGCGGAACGAACGACACAAATTGTGAAACACGAGCAAAAACATCATTGTTTAAAAGTGTAATCATTTTATACTTCGATGAATGGAAACCGGAAATTTTTCACTTTTGTTATCCTAATCCCTAAACAAATTTTATTTTGTTATAGGATGATTCAATTTACGTGGAATTTAATAATGAAGGCAAGTTTATAAATTTTGTTTAAATGCCTTAATTTTAGCCATTTCCTATTCCAAATAAAGTGATTTAGTAGCTAAACGAAGATAATTTCTCGCTACCTTCACCGATGGCAAACAAAAACTATCAATTACAACTTTCTACAATAAAACAAAAGGAGGTGTTAACGTCACCGATAAATTATGTACATCATAGTTTGCAACAAATGTAAGGCGATAATGAACTGCAACAAATCTGATATAAATGGCTAATATATTTAGGTAATATATTTTGATAGTAATAAAAAAATCTAATTGTTTCCGAAATAAAGAATTGTTGGAAATTATACTGCACACGATTTACGATAACATTCAAACAATTCTAAGATAATTTTAAATGATTTTTTTAATCAAGCTTGATTTTCAGAGAAATAGCCGATTTCTAATACAAAAATAAAGCTAATCATCTTTAAAGTCAATAATTAGTATATCTATCATATCTCGATCATGTCTTTTCTCATTATTAATTTTAACGTTAAAATTATTATCTATATCATTTCGCTTCAAATACAACTTGAAATAACTAGATAATATTGTAAAAGCGGGCGTACAGCGAATTTTAATTAGCACCCATTAATGTACCGACAATAGAAATTGTGATAGTGATGGTTACTCAAGTTTTCAATCAAGTACAAAGTGAAAACTCTTCGTCGACATTCCACTAATTGTTGAAAATTAGTAGAACTACTCTTACTTTTAATATGGCAATAGAAATTTCTGCGTGTCGAATCAACTAACTAGGTACTGAGCGAAAAAAACTTTAATTACTAACCTTTTCGAACTCCTTGATGTGTCAACATCGTCTCCTGGCGCTCCAAGAGAAGATTCCTGCAACAAAAAAGGCGGGTAATAAATTTACAGTTTGAAAGTTGAAATACGAGATGTATGTTTCTTTGTAACGGTTTTTTTAGACCGATCCATTAAGTTGCGTAATGCCGAAGAGGATTAATGAATAAAGTTTAACAAAAAATTTTATTTATTCAAATTAGTTTTAAAATTTTTTGTAAAGTTATATCACTTTTTGCTGGATTCATTATGTAATTTTTATTTTAGTTTTATGGATGACAACCCACTCTAGATGGTATTGAAAACAACTTTTTAAAAAAGACTTTGGATACCCTTTTTGTGCCGACGGCGGCATCGAGTTCATAATTATTTCAGCACTGTTATTATTTACGCATCAGAAGAAACCAGTTTCGCCATGCAGACGCTATCTCGACATAATGTGTTCCCATTAGGTTATTTGCACGCCGATTAAAATTGTTTTCCCTTAATAGTTGGCCGTCAACAATTTTTACCACCTCGTAATTAATATGTTTTCATTTTAACGAACGATGCGAACCTAATTGTGACAGCATTCCAATAGATCCGACTCATACTTTTTATGTATGTACGTAGTTTTTTTAATTTTTTTTCTATCTCCATCATTGAAGATTTAAACGATCGAAATCATTTGCATTGATAATTCAATCAATCTCCGTTCGGTATGATCGTGCAGCGTTCGTGATGGCTACGTTGATGAATACCGCGACCTGAATGGCTCGTTAACGAGAGGTTGAATAAATTTGCATGCCGAAGCATCGTTAATTACATACATTAGCCGCATTGCAAACGTTACTTTTCTATTTGAATGTATACTTTTCAAATAATATTCTCCAAACACATAATTTAATTTTTTATGAAAAATTTATAAGGTTATGTAAAATTATTGGACAACGTCCATAAATAAAAAAAAACCAGTATAAATCCCCAAATGAATAGATTATGATCTGTTAGCACTTTGTAGAAAAAGTATGCAGAATTAGAGCCAATTCGGAATCCATTTCCCGGAACATGCAGATTCAACAGTTATAGGTGTCTTAGCCAATGCTGCCATAAAGTGTGGGCAACTTTAAATAATCTCAGTCTGCAAACTAACTGCGCTTTGTGCATCATGTCATTATTTGGGTAACAGCGAAAATATTACTGAGTAGAAACAGAATTGCTTTAACTGGCTACTAAAAGAATATTTTTAAGAAATTAACGTTCTTTTCCTTAATGTGCTCAGAGTTCAAAAACTGTCTCTGTCAAGAATTGCGGTAACGAAGTGCAAACATAACTTGTTATTGCTAGTGGTATGACATCAGTAACACAATTTATGCATGGATGCATTTATTAACAAACTGAGAAAGCTATGTATGTTAAATGGATTGCAGATCCTGTTCGGAAATCAAAGGTAATAAAAAATAAACGTGGTTCTGCATGCGAAGGTGACCGATGAGTGAAAACCGTAATTGTGAAGTCATTCAAGAATTGTTGCATAACTTTAGATGGTTCTGAAGATGACGTTATAAAATGATCCAAATTTATTTGAAACTACCTCTTTGAAAAATTATTTTCAATATCGTCCGATGCGTTAAAAACAACTTGAAGTTTTCGTTTTAATGAGAAAGTTATATCATGTACTACTTATTAAAAGGTCAAGATAGTAAAAATTTCGCATGTACTTTAGATTGTATCTCAATACACTAATTACATGCTTGAAATTATTGATTAGTGTCCATAAAATATTAAATTATCAATAAATAATTTCTTAGTATAATGTTTTGAATAAGTAGCAAACACTTTTGCTTTTTTACTTTGCTTCGATGAGCATCGCGTGCATTTGCCACAGTGTTTTAACCATATAAGGTAAAAGAAACATAGCATATTCATCTTGAAATCGTTAATCATCACCGTGAAAAAAAATCCTTCAATAACAATTTCTATTCAAATATCTCTACACCCAAAAATTACGCCTTAACAATAATTTTAGTAAACAATCGAAACATTAACTTAAAGATTACAAAACTTGGTAATTATAATGAAAACGACGACGTACGAAGGTCGCCGCGCCTAATTGTCAAATACCATACAGATCAGTTTTAATAAACGCGACCTCTAAAAGCGGACCATTATCATTATTCTGTCGGGTTCGTTTTATAAAGGTGTGGGTTATTACACGTTTTGGAGAACGTAAACAATACGTGTCACGGTACGCCAACGATATTATAATAGCGCCTATCCGAGTAATTGTGTTCTTTTGTAGAGGTTTGAAAACGTAAGATTAACGTTAGAATGGAAAAGAAGGTCAATTTTAATTACATAAAAAAACGACTTCTAATTTACTACTTTGATGTATATTTTGTCGTCTAGTAAATAATCTCAATCAATTTGTGAATCTCACTCCAAATCCGATAACAAACCCATCATAGTTTCGTTTACCAATAAAAATCATAAATCAATTCATACAAAAACTATAACAAATTGAGGGTTATATTTAGAAATAAAAATTGGTTTCGATTGATACATCATTGACATTTATGAATGTGAAGTGGTCTGGTATATTAGCATTTAATTTGGACTGACCTGTTAATAAATTGAACACAATTCGCAATGTCAATTACAAACAATTTCGAATCCATCTACGTCTCAACCATCCACTGCTACTTGAGAATAAAAATAGAAATTTTTTCTACACTTTTACTTTTTGTAGCTTTTCATTTTTTCCTAAGTAATAATATCTTATCTGAAAGATAACGCACAATGTAACAACTGTGAGAAAAAGAAACTTAACTCAACGTTTAAGTTTTTTGTTAGAAAAGGCACTCAGTTCAAATGGGATACCCACGTAGACGGTTATTACGATTGCCAGAGACAGCTGGAAGTGGAGAAGGCAAATTGCCGTGCAAGAGCTGGAGGAAAGTCGTTTTAGAACTGGGTGTAGCAAAACGGTCGAACGAACACAGCAAATACTAAAGGAATTTAGCGATATTAACGAAGAGAGAAACAAAGTGCCATTAGATTTTTTTTCTCTGAAATGCCAATTAACTTCCAACTTCCTGTTGAACCTTTTTTTTGACATAAACCAGAGAAAGTGAATGTTTGACAGTTTTTAAAGAAAAAATTTTTAAGAACAGAAACAATTTACGAAAATCATTCGGTCGTATCTAATAGGATCGTAACTCACGAACTAAAAGTTATTCTATTTCAATAAGAGGGTGGATCGTTAATCCTAGTCACGTCAGTTTTACTCACGCTGAATCACGACAGTATTAAATTACCACCAAGCTTCAGTATCTACTCATGTTATTATACAGATTTAATTACCATCTTTTTTCCGTTCCAACTGGGGTAAAGTACACAAGAAGTTGTAAACCTAACACAAACACTAATCATACCAGTTAAACATGTATACTTTAATATGTTGAAACACTCGATACTATTCAAACGGTAGCATTTGGCAAACTAAGTAAAAATTTGGAAAATACAATTATTCGTGTACCACACATAACAGTAAATATTTATTTAGATTACGGTATCATTATCGATAAGATTTTATTCTCTAAATGTTTTTTTATCTATAAAAGTAAATTTTGCTAATAATGTTCACCGTTCATATATTTTATGTAAGAGGATTGAATGAGTAATGTTAACATTTAAGTTAATGTCTGAAAACGAAACCTGAAACTTTCTAGTTCTATGTTATTCGCCCTAGATTGTTGTATATTTTTAATGAACTTAATTTAACTTTTATAATTTAAGTTGGGTTTTTACCATATTTAAATAATTCAATTGATTTAATTAGAAATTACTCAAATTTCCTTCCCTTCTTTGTAATTACGTATTCTATAGAATTACATCAGACTCAGATATAGATAGAACAATAGATTCTAATTAATAGCTTTATTCTATTACAAGTGAACCAATTATTTTCCTATATTTCACAGAGAACAATTCATTATTATAATGAGATGTTATCAATTAGTTTGTTGCATAAATTTTATAATCTTCATTAAAATTGCATTCTATGGAAAATGAGGGTTTAAAAAATAAGAATAATTATTTGGATTCCTAATAATTAAAAGTTTGTGGTAAACCATGTCAAGCTGCGGTTAAAAATGACCGACTTCTAGACCGTTCGTTGATCCAGAAAAACTTGACCGCACAACGCATGCAGAATTCAAGATGAACTGAAATAACCGTTAACCAAATCTAATTTTAACCAGTATCACTACAATGATTATTAAAGGCAAACAATTCTTTTTAGTTCTTAAATTTACAATGTAATAAAAATAGAAAGTTAAAAATTGTTTAAAGTAATAAAACTTCTGAAACTGCTAACCACAAACAGCAATTCGCGTTCAAACAAGTTTTATATGTCAACATAACCCCGATTCCATTCTTGCGTTTCTTGTGTAACGATTCATTTTGCCGTAACCCGTAGAAGGAAAAGTGACTATTCCGCGAATTTTCCCGGATATTTTTTTTTACAAAGCCGAATTAATGTCCCCGCCATTAATCACACACGTTCGTATATTCCACTTTCACCGGTGCATTTGATTAATTGCTCGCTTGTCGTCGGTTGGATGTCGTTAACCTCTTACATTGAATCAGATTTTTCAATGGGTACCACTTCGCGCATGGTTCCCCGATCGAAAGGGTCTTTATAAAAGAACCTTGTACGAACCAACTCTTTTGTAAAAAAACATGTAAATAATTGTATTCGGTTACAAATGGTTAAAAATAGTTTAATAAAGACATTTTTTTCGTGTTGACCTTAACACATGATAACAAGCATCATATTAATGTATAAACTAATCGGAAGAGAAATGTGTCTTTTTAATAAAGTGGGTTTCTAGATAAGCGTTTGATAAAGTATGAAAATGATTTTTTAGTAAAATGTGATTTACTGGGGAATGATATTCACATTGAATGAATGTTTAAAAGTGTAGGCGTGAATTGTTGTCACATGTTATATGTCAACATTCTTGAGACCTACAGTAAACTGTTCTATAAATAGCGTTCTA